ATTAGTGCTGATGACCTGGTGACTGACGAAATCTCATCTCGGATACAGAAGGCTCGATTGGCTTTTGCCAACCTGTGTCACTTATGACACAGGTGAGAAATCCGCTTGTTAACCAAAGGACGAGTGTACTGCACAGCAGTTCGCTCTGTCCTACTATACGGATGCGAAACATGGCCTGTAAGAGTAGAGGACATTCGTAGGTTACTAGTCTTCGATCATAGGTGTATCCGAAGCATTGCTCGTGTATCCTGGGACGACTGAGTAAGCAATCCTATCGTTAGGAAACGAGTTCTAGGTAAGGATGGCGAATCAATAGATGAAGTGGTGAAACTTCATCAGTTGAAGTGGTTGGGGCATGTGTTACGAATGCATAACCACCGACTGCCGCAACGAGCTATGTTTTGTGGTGTAGGAGTAGGTTGGGATAAAGCTAGACGCGGCCAGACCAAAACATGGCAGAAATCCATGAAGTCACTGACAAGTGGACTGAGTCATGTTGGTAGATGTAGGCTACGCGGTTGAGGTCCGCGATACGAAAGTCACTAATAGTTAGAGATCTTGAACAACATGGCTCAGAATCGTTTGTAATGGCGCAAGTGCATCCACTCCTTGTGTTCTCTCAAATTCTAACCTTCTGAATTCCTCATCGTCTCTATCTTTCTCCTTCTAAATTTATCTCACTGAATTATACTTTTCGAATCATATCTTTGGTCCCTAATCTTCTCCATTGCTGCTTATACTTCTACTATCGCTACCACTGTTGGATTTGAACTGACAGTTACGTCTCTGTGCTGACTTGATATGGCAACGTGAACTAATGTACTTATGTACGAAGTTCTGTGTTGTATCTGTCTGTCTGATAAACTAATATTAAATCTTATCCATTAGTAGATAAATAGATACATGCAACTAGGTAAAGGTGTATTCTACATAAAAAACAATCGATTTTTTATTTTTACAAATATTTCGTGTAGTACACATTATTTTATCCTTGTTTCCGAACCTGTTATATATAATAATAATAATAATAATAATAATAATAATAAACCACTTTCTAGAATTAAAATAATATCACCCAGTGGGTATTACATATAAAATTGAACATTGTTTTTAATAATTTTATTCGTGATTTTAAAAAAAAACATGTCATGATCACCTATCTTTTTTTCAAGTAATCATCAGCATGAATAAATCATATTTCTCTATAAGGTGGTGTATTTTACATGAGCTTGTTGTATCATTAAAATTCAACTATCTAAAATTCTAAGACTATAATAAATCACTTACTGAAACACAAAGTTGATTGGGTTTCAGATGTTATTATTTAGTTGATTGTCACATATATCGTCTCTTAGAAATATCATGTTTAGTCTGTAAGCAAGATTTGGAGCAAATATCTAAGCAACATTAACCTTCTAGTGTTACTATGAATTCATGTACATCTTTACTGAAGTTCCAAGTGTCAAGTGTTGAATTATCAACATCATCTATATAAATATTTAATTGTACCATCTCATTTTGGGTAATTTTTCAATGTATTCTTCTGGTTTGTCTTGTCTCCTTTATAAATAGTAATTTTCTGTGAAGAACTAACTATTACTAGATATAATCAAAGAAAGATTGCACTCAATTCATACAGATCGACGTCATAGACAGTCTGAGACAATACTGGTGTTTATCATCATGATTATTTGATGAAATATACTTTTTAAAGTTTCATACTGACATACATTTTCATCTCTTTACTGGGTCTTAGTAATCGAACAACTAAAGCTTTTAAAATCGTCACTTCGATTAACTATCTAGAATGGTATTTCAAAAAGAGAGAAGACGCACTTAGAAGAGTTGACAATTGTTCATTTAGGGGCATCAAATGAATTTTCTGCGGAATCTCACAGTGTTTGTCCTTAATTGACTGTTTAATTATAGATTCTTATCTAATTTGTTAGAAGCACTCTGAATAGGGAATCATTATGGCTATAACAAGTTATGTTTTATTGAAATTCTTGTATCGATATTTTGAGAAAGTTAAAAAAGAGCTCTTCTTAATGAGTTTTACAGTGTTACTTATTCTTTCTTTACTGCTAAACATTTTGACAATTATTCAATAGCTTATTTAATGTGTACAAATTTATAATTTATTCTCTACATTAGAGAATTTTAATAAGTTTAATACAAAGTAATCTATCTATGTCATTATTACATTCTATCTGAATGATTTCCAAAGAAACTGAAATATAACCTAGACATAAGTTTTGTTAACTTCATCAGTTGAGGTGGTTGTGACATGTTTTACGTACGCCTAACCACCGACAACCGCGACGAGCTATGTTTTGTGGTGTAGGAGTAGGTTGAAAGAAAGTTAGGGGCGGCCAAACCAAAACATGGCACAAATCCATGAAGTCACTGACCAGTGGACTGAGTCATGTTGGTAGATGTAGGCTACCTGGTTGGGGTCCGCGATACGAAAGTCACCAATGGTTAGAGACCTTGAAAGACATGGCTCAGAATCGTTTGCAATGGCACAGGTGCATCCACTCTTTGTGTGCTTTTTAATTCTAACCTTCTGAATTCCTCATCATCTTTATTTTTCTCCTTCTAAATTTATCTCACTGAATTATACTTTTCGAATCATATCTTCGAACCCTAATCTTCTCCATTGCTGCTAATAATTCTACTATCCTTACCACTATTGGATTTGAACTGACAGTTACCTCTCTGTGCTGATGTGGTATGGCAACTTGAACTGATGTTCTTATGTACGAAGTTCTGTGTTGTATCTGTCTGTCTCTGCCTGAAAGTTGTTAACAGAAAACTGTGGCTGTTGAAATATTTAGGAAATAATTGGAATAGTCGATGAACCGTTTTATTAGATGTCATTTTCCAATGAAATTCCCAATTTACTTCATAAATGTACTATGAAGCTAAGTTGGCAAATTCAGCTCTCACTGGATACACCTATTCTCCATTGAAATTATAAGTTGACCTTGTTGATAAGTGCATGCTGACATGAAATTTTAAATGCAGGGTTCTCTGTCTACAGCTCCTCAATTTTTCATGTTGTATTAAATGATTGGAGACAATACACGAGAATATAATAACCCCGAACTTTACAGTTTGTGTACGCACACCTACAATCGAATCATCTCTAATTATAAGTGGGCGATGATGAATTGTGATTCAAGTGTAAGGAAAAAGATAAGTCATTTTCTTGAGCTTGTATCAATTCAATCGGATTATTTAATTTTTGCTATCTTTTAGTTTAAGTTTTCTAGATTGAATTTACCAATATCATCTTAGTAGAATATATGACAAAATATTTATCATTATGTATTTATTCTTATGTTTTCCATTTTCTTCCAACACTAGATGATGGGTGTAACGGACCAAATATTATGTCTGGTGGATCTATATCACCACTTTCATCATCTACTGTGTCAGGAAACTTTTCTGAATCAACTATTCCATCAAATAGTAGAATAATGAGTCCAAATCCTATGTCAATGGCAATTGGTAGCAGTGTGGGTGGTAGTCAACTGTCTCAGTCAGCAGCATTACCATCACAAGTCCCAGAAGAACGTCGACGTTGGAAGAAAGAGGAATTATTAGAACAAGCCATGATGGCTAGATTACCATTTGCACAATGGAATGGTCCTACAGTAGTAGCATGGCTTGAGGTATAGTTAATATTAGTTTGATATTCTTTCTTTTGTTTTTATTTAAAAATGAATTAATCTTTTTTAAAGTTTTTCACTAAACTGAATAAAATCTCTGTAATTGTTTGCACTCGCTTTTCCATTAAATCTAATAAAGTGTTTTAGGAGTAAATTAAAATTTACTACTGAGTTGCAATATCAGTATGTACTTATTCCACGTATGATACTGGTTCATCTTAATTTAAGATAAGGATGTTTGCAATTGAAAGCATTACCGTTACTCTATTTATAAACGTTTTCTTTAATGAGTATTGAATTGTTGAATATTATTTAACACAATAAATGTTTGAAGGATATGAACTAAACATTGAAATCGAAATCAATCATTGTTCGACCACCGTTAGAAACCTGAAATCACTGAACGGCCGTTTCGACCTAGTATGGGACTGACCGGCAGTGTGCATCCACGATTCACACACGCGTGAATCGAACCTAGGACTTTTGGTCTTGCATGTGAACGATTAACTTCTAGACCACTGAGCCGGCATCCTACGGTGTTAATATCGAACTTTGATCAACCTAGCGACTTTGCGCAACCTCACCCATTGTCTTCGGTAGTTACTACCTACATCTGACAGAGTTGAACTCCACTGGTCACAACCATCTACTGCTTTCAGGTTTCTAATACTGGTCTAACAATGATCAACCCACGATTTCAATGTGAAACAACAATCTCCATAACTCTATAACAATACTGAACAATATCAATAACCAACTACTGTTTCATAAATAATCATATAATAAGTTGGATAAGTTTTTTGTAGGTATTATTATTGATTGTATGTAGTCCAATTGAACAGCGTCAACAAAATTATTTTAAGAAACTCTATAGATAGTCAACAAAATTAATTCGTGTCTCGTTTTTTATCGATCTCTCAATTTCATTGAAGGCTTTTAGTGAATTAGATTAGTGTGATGAAAAATTGGAAGGTAGAATTATATTCGCCATATATTTGATGACTGTAAAAAAATAGGTTGATAATTTCAACTAAAATGGAATGAAATAGGTGGACTGAGTTTTTTTTATACTACTACTATTACTAATACTCTTAATAATAATCATAGTAGTAATAATGTAACATTTTAATAAGAAACAAATTAATATTTCTAACTGTACTCAACTTAACATAAGTGTCGTTTCAAAGAATAAATAATTGGTAACATTTCAAAATTCAATTTACTACTCATTAGATTGGGATATTACAAGTATATAATTATTTTATCACATCATAAATGATCATCATACTGGTACTGTTTTATAACTAATTGTGAATGCTATTTTGTTATACGTATGTGGTGGCCAAATATCTGCGTGTTCTAAAGCTCGGTAATTAGCTCGTCGAGACAATCGTTACCAAGTAGCGTCTGACGGTTATAAATCAGAAGATGAATTCGAAATAATGAATACGTTTATTTTTGGACACACCACAAACCGAAGTTGAACAGCAGCGAACAAAGCGTACCAAACGACGTGAATTGGAGAAGGCTAATGAGCCAACTCCTTGGATTACAATGCGAACGAATGGGCGAAGCGCGTTGGAGAAGGCTAAGAGCCAACTGAAAGAAATAGAGAATGACTAAGAATATATAGTCAGACAAAAATATGGCAGACATATGACAAGCGAAATAGGCATGCACACACATGAATAAAAGCGACGAATGATTGACAAGGTCAAATGACAAGTGGGACATGCCATGTGAGCTCATACAAACCAGACAATAATAGGAACGAATGGTACATATAAATTGTTGCTATGCAAATAGCTTGGTTAAATAAATTAATCGAAAGGGCTTAACCGAATGAAATGTAAGCGAACTGGAATATATGTGGAGGCACTACACGTACATTTAGAAAAAAAAATGTATATCATACTATATACATTTGAGATTTCAACTAGTCTATCATTCATAAACAATGTGGTATTTTGTATTTGCTTTGAATTAGCCTGTTCTCAATATATACTCATGATTGAACTTTGATCAGCTTTTGTCGACTGACTGTGTTTTATGTTGTTTGGTTTGCAAATTTGGCACTGATATACAATCTTCCTGTACACGAACCCAAGCAGTACCTCCCTCGAATTAAAAGACTTGAGAGTGAGATGGAAGTTTATTGACTGAACATGAATATGAACATATCTCTTAGAAGATTATGCCATCGATAGCGTATACTTGATATCTTAGAAATACTAGCCATTTCTTGGCCAATTGAATGCACTTATCGCTTAGCTGACTTCTGATTGGCTCAGTGTATCAATATATGCATCCATTGTGTGTTGAGTCAGAATGTGAACATCAACACTGTGTTGTAGTTCCTCTAAGAGGAATGTAACCCGCATCCCGGATTTCACTGGTCACTCCAATCCATTCATACTGTTTAAACTAAACAAATTAAATTATATGAAATAACTGTAACAGGATAATCTTATATTCAGTATAAAATTTTAAATGAAACATGTGATTTATTTACATCATCACGTCTATAATGTTATCTGCCTTTTTTTTGTAGCTTTGGGTTAGTATGCCAGCGTGGTATGTAGCTGCATGTAGAGCAAATGTTAAATCTGGTGCAATCATGGCCTCATTATCTGAACAAGAAATACAACGTGAAATTGGTATTAGCAATCCATTACATCGACTGAAACTACGTTTAGCTATACAAGAAATGGTTGCATTAACTTCACCTACACCAGTACCTAAACCTAGTACAAGGTAATATAATTTATTGACTATGTAATTAATGAGCTTACAATTCATATTATTTATTTGACTTTTAAAAAATTTCTTTAGTGTAAAAATAAATAATAACTATCTTCAAACTCTTGATTTTAATTGACAATTCATTTTTTTTCTCTAACCTGCTATGATTTTTAACTGAATAATATGTCCAACCATATCAAATGGGATAAATTTACCCACCATTGACATTGAATGATAAAAAAGTAGCGAGAAGACGTAATTGATCTGAAAAATGTTATGTATTTGCGCTATACGTTTCGAACAATCTGGTTACACATATTTACTTGTAAAGCCATTTTCTATGAAGATTACTAAAAGTTCAGACATAAGGTGATATTTATAAATAAAGGAGAGAGAAAATTAACGTGAAATGTAAAGAATAAGAAAGGGTAGGATAATGGTCACATTACTCTAGGCTTATGAGTTTAAACCATCAGATATCGGTTCAAACTTTTGGATTCCATCCCCATAGATTAGTGAATGAGTGTACGCTTCTGAAACATTCTCTACTGTATCGAAACAGCTATCTTGTACTTTCATGGTTTTTAATGGTTGTGGAACTAAGATTAGTCCATGATGTAGACTATGTATAACAAATACGAAGAAAAGTTTATTAAAGAATCAGCAACGCATTATGTGGTGGTGTTTCGTTCTCTGAGCTAGATGTTTTGGTCGTGGAGCTTTCATTGTTCTTCTGAACAACATCATCAGCACAAACTTTAGATAGAATTCAAGTATTCGAATTTCTCCACGTTTCACCGGTAGCTTGTTTTGCTAACCTCGATCTTGATTGGTTGTTGTTGACCTTAAACCTGTCGTCGTTTGCACCTTTGTTTTGATTGTATCCTCATTTTGACCTGTTTCTTGATCCTATGTCGCCTATGATTTTTCTGATTGGTTGATAAGCTGGGTCATTGTCGATGTGTTTGTTGATTGGTGATTGACCTGAGTGCCAAGTTCTAAAAATTCTCTAGTGCTCTTTGTGCTCCCCCTATCCAGTATTTCCACATTGTTCCAATCGAATGTATGTCCATAATTGTCCGTATGTATTGATATAAGTGAAGAAATGTCGTGGCGTTTGACTGCTAATTGGTGTCCACGTAAACGAAGCTGGAGAGGCCGTCCACTTTGTCCTATGTATTGTTTTTCACAGTCTGAGCAATTTATTTGGTTTTTCTTCCTTTGTCATTTTGTCCTTTGATCTACAAAGGATTGATTAAAGTAATTCTGTTAGTTTGTGTGCCACAACTATTCTAAACGGTCTCAGTAGTTGTGCTGTATGTTCTGATATGTCTTTTATGTATGGTAGGATGATCCATCCATTGGTTCCTGTACTTGGTTTCGCTTCCGTTGACGGTTTCATTCGTTTTATAATGGTGCTTACATGAAGGCATTAAAGCTGAAATACAATACTGGTCATAATAAACTAATATTAATCGACCCAAATAACATAAAAAACCACTATTCTTGCCTTTTCTTTTTAGTCATAAAAACAAAACAAAAAAAAGAAATCCAAAAGCTTATGGAGAGAAATGATCACGTTTATGAATCTTTGGCAAAAATAAAGTGATTATCTTTAATACCATATACAATCCAATTAATACTAACATTACACAAACAACAGTGTGTAAAGCTACTTATTGTAATTACTAATTAAACGTAATATTTGAATATTTGTCAAGTTATGCTATTTATTGCCTATGTTATTTTATGACTGCATATTCTGCAACACTGTAGCTGTTAGAGAGACAGAGAAGTAAAAATCACGAGTTCAAGAAAAGATTAATATTCAAGAATAGAAAATTGTAATCTGATAACTCTCTCTCTCTCTCTGTATATATATATATATATATATATATATATATATATCAACTGTACTTATATATCGGAACATTATACAAACGAAGATGTCTCAGCATATCAATGTATAAATGCAATTTTTTTTATTTTCTGTTTTTTTTTCCATGCACATTTTGTACAGCCGCCTTGCTTTTGGTGATATGAATCATGAATGGGTCGGTAATGTATGGCTACCTAGTCTTGGTTTAGCACAATATCGTCCAGCATTTATGGAATGTTTAGTCGATTCACGAATGCTTGATCATTTGACTAAACGTGATTTAAGAACACATTTAAAAATGGTTGATAATTTACATAGAACTAGTTTATTATATGGTATTGTTTGTTTGAAACGATTAAACTATGATCGATTGGAATTAGAACGTAGACAACGTGAAGCTGCTCATCCTGATAGTATCGGTATGTTTATGGGTTATTTTGTTGTAGTTAATGTTTCTTTTTAAATTTAAAGTTTTAAAAATTATATACCTTGTGAACTTATATCAGTTGTGAAATTATTGAAAGTTATGAATTTATTACTAGGTAATGTACTCACTAGTGACTAACTTCGTGAGAGAATTCTTGGAGTTCTAGCGAGAAGACATGACCACTGGAGTTCAACCCTGTCGGACGTTGGCAGTAACTACCAAAAACAAATCGGTGGAATCGCACTAAATCGCTAGATTGGTCAGAGTTAGACATTAACACCGTTGGATGCCAGCCCAGTAGTCCAGACGTTAGGCATTTGTGCGCGAGACTGAAGGTCCTGCGTTCGAATCCTGCGAGTGGCAGGAGTTGTGGATGCACATTGTCGATGAGTCCTAAACTAGGACGAAACAACGGTCCATAGCTTCCAGCTTTCTAATGGTGATTTAACAATGATTGATTCATGATTTCAATGTGTACTAGGCGATTGTATGTTCCTAGTTTTTCACCTTTAATTTATTACTTATCAACAATGCATGTAAGCTGGCATCCGAAACTTGGAGGATACACAAAACAACATAGAATCACTTATCATCCACCTTCAGTACTTTATACAACATCATTTTATTATCCAATTGAAATCTATCAGTTTTCATATTTTTTTGAAACTTCATTTCATTCACAATGCACTGGTGCATATACGTTTATTCTTTATTTTATTTGAACTTTTGAGTTCTAATATTTCTTCATTTACACATACCTTTTCGTTCAGTTCTTTCAAATCGAATTCTTATTACTACATGGTATAATGACTTATATTTGTTTAAGCTTCATTTTGATTATGACTTGTCTGATTCACAATACAAAATAATCTTTCTCAAAATCTAAATCTATCAACTGCAACATCCACTCATCCTTTGTTTTTAGTTGATTTCGTAAAGAGATCACAGTTTTCTATCAAAAGAAAACTAAACTATTTATCTTAAAATAGTTTATTACACATACGGATTGAGTTGGTTTTTGAAGTCACGTTTTAATTTAAGAAAATGTTTCTATAGTGTGAATTATTCAAGCGAATGCAACAATACAATCTAGTGTTTTAATATTTAGTGATCAATTAGTTGTAAATATATCTCACTTCTATATTCGGTTAGTCTAGACCCAAATAGTTCACTTTCAATAGATTTTGATTATAAATCTGAATGATCCATGTTCGAATCGCATTGGATGTATTAGTTTTGATTGATTTTACAGCTCCACCTCGGAAACCATTGTCAATTAAAATAAAACCTGATTTTGCAGTTTTACACTGACCACTAGATCTAAGCATCTCACTTCAAAAGATATTACAAGAAATGCCGAATTGTTTGAATTTGTGAATTGCAGTGCAACTTGATCAATACTAAATGAACTAGACAAAAATGGCGTTAGTCACTCTATTTAGTGATCGATCGGTCGTAAATGCTAATACCTCTATACTTAGTGTTGTTACACATTATCGTATAAACAGCCAAGTTAAAAATAGAGGCGAATCTAACATAAAGAATAAAGCTACTAAAATGAGTCTAAGAAAAAAGGAAGTAGACAAGCGAACAGATAAATTGACAAACAGAACATAAAAAGATTGTGAGTTAATAGTTCGCATAATAAACTATCAAGTGGAATGAATGTATTTATACAACTGAAATCACATATTTATTTATTCACAGAAAAAACGATTCAGTCTGCCAATTCACCTTACTCATTGCATCATTGATCAATGATTGTTCAGTGAGAAAAAACTTTCGTTCCGACAATGTTATCTACCAAAGTTGTATACTTGTATTTATTATATTTAATTTTGTACATGAAAATCTATACAATAGAAACTGATTAACAAAATACACCAAAATTCAGTCGAAAATATTTTCAAGTGTTAAATATTAGGTTACGTAATAATCAAAAGATAATAATCATGAATTTGTGTTCACTGGTGACTAACATTTGAATGCAACTCCAGACGTTTTAGTGAGAAGCCGTAATTCGTATAGTTCAGCACTGTAGGCTGTGAGATATCTATCCAACACCCACAATGGAAATGGCCACGCAATATCTCAGACTGATTGAATAAAGATATATTATACAATCTTGGATACCAGCTCAATGGTTTTGGGGTTAAGCGTCCCCACGCGAGACTGAATGGCCTGAGTTTGATCACCTTGGATGGAATTGTAGATGCTCACTGATGAAGAGTCTCCGTGTATCCAGTACTTCCTGGTTTTTTGGGGCTGATCTACAGAAGGTCATTTCATGACGCAAACTATTATACAGTCCCCCCATACTAAGAAGGCAATTAAACAACGAACACGTGTCAAACAAACGGCTCGTGAAGTATAAATGGGAGCGTGTTCAAACTTTGTTAAAATAAGGGATTGCACATATCAACTCCTAAGCACAATGACAAGGCTTGAATTGATGAACTGTCAAAACCACTACTATACAAAAAGTTTCTCATTCAGTTATCTTTAGAACTAGTTCTTCTAACTTTGTGAACATTTTTAAGTGAAAATTTTAATGGAACTAGATGATTGGGGATTTGATCAAATGTTTAACAATTGAACTATTTGAAATTATGAATCGATCAATGTTAGACCACCATTAGAAACATGGAAGCACTGGACGGCCGTTTCGTCCTGGTATGGGAATCATCAGCAGTGCGCGTCCACGCGTCCAGTGCTTCCAGATTTCTAATGGTGGTCTAATATTGATCGATTCATGATTTCAAATGTGTAACTTAGCAATCTCCACAACGCCGTAATGTAATTGGACTATTGATTGATTTGGATTCACCTTTAGTTAACTAGCTCTACTAAATTCGTAACTGTTTCTTTCCTTTAAAAAAATAAGTCAAAATTCTAAATTTAATGTAATCGGTTTAGTTGTCTTTTCAATCTGTTTTATGTTTATTCTATCTTTAACATTGACATCGAAATTGATGATAACTAAGTAAGCGATGAGTCTTTTTTGTTTACACAAACTGAGAAAAAAAGAGCAATAATATCTAATGAACTGAAGAAATAATCAGCTATTATTTTATACAATGAAAATGCGCAACAACACATCATATAATTTCAACTGTACAAATGACAGATTGTCTTTTTGTGATAGAGAGATAGATAGGTGGATAGATAGATGATAACATTAACTTGTATGCAAGAAGATAGAATAAATTGTTTATATCTGTGGCACACATCAAAAACTATTCAATAAAGTGATTTGAAGAATGACATTTTAAATAAATAAGAATGTATTTATCTACACATAGAATAAATCATCAAGATCGAATTGATTTTATATCAAATTATATATTTTTAAATATACAAATATTTTTTTTTTGAAAAAAATAGTTTATTCTTATTACCTGTAACCATGAATCGATCAATGTTAGACCACCATTCGAAACCTGGAAGCACTGGACGGCCGTTTCGTCCTGGTATGGGACTCATCAGCAGTGCGCATCCACGACTCCTGCTCCTCGCAGGATTAGAACCCAGGACCTTCGGTATTGTGCGCGAACGCCCTAACCGTTAGACCACTGAGCCGGTATCCAACGGTGTTAATGTCTAACTTGATCAAATCCACGGAGTTGCGCGACCTTATACCCTGTTAGGGCGTTCGCGCACAGTACCGAAGGTCCTGGGTTCGAATCCTGCGAGGAGCAGGAGTCGTGGATGCGCACTGCTGATGAGTCCCATACCAGGACGAAACGGCCGTCCAGTGCTTCCAGGTTTCGAATGGTGGTCTAACATTGATCGATTCATGGTTACAAATAAAACTTAACAATCTTCACAACAACCCCGCAATGCAATATTCTTATTACCATTTTTATTTGATATAAGTGAGACTCAACGGACTAGGCTGTATATACATCCAGTTGTTGAATTCCAAAACAACTTGAAATGTGCATTATAGATTCCAGTGCTAGTCACAATTTATCTATCCAGGTAAAATTTGGATAAATTGGCTTGTGGTGATTATTCTAATTTGAAGTTAGGTTTGATTAAAATGTGAAAGAATTAATTATCTTTTAGTGATGTTGTGACCTATAGACAATGTACAATTACTACGTGAACACAGTAGTCTAACTGGTATATAGTTGTTGTTGTTGTTGTTGCAACCTCTAAAAGCCATGGATTTGTTCCCGTATGCGTGGAAACTCATGTTACACACTAGTAACAAATTCCAGACCAGAGTTTAACTGTTATTTCATGGACTGTAACCCTCACAAGTTGAATTATGCCTCGTAGTGGACGAAAAGTTTGAGTTTACATATCGAAAGTCTTGCTACTATTATGAGTTAGTGTTATCACCCCACAGAGCTTTCGCCTGCAATTGACATCAACAATGATGTAAAAAGGATAGGGTTAAGTTTCAGTCTTGATTTTGATTTTTCAAACTAGGGTTGGGATTTTCATCATGAACTGAAAATCATGATGTAATGATATGTGATTCTATTGTTTACAAACCTAAAAGTCTCATAGTTACGATGTAGAGTAATTGCTACAAAGGAAAGTTATTATCTAGCTCCATTACACACTCGTAGCAGCACTCTGAATCGCAACCAGTACCTCACTATAAGATCCACCTTAAGAGCAATTACGCTTGGTAATTTAACTTAATCACAAACCCTAAATTCATTTTTTTTTGGTTTCTCAGTCGAAACTCCTATTGATTTTCAGCATTTTAAGGACCATGTATTGCTTATTTTCACTTGGAAAAAAAAATAACATACAAGTTGTCTGTTGTTGCATTTGAAAATTCGCGCAAAATACATAAGAAGTTATCTTAATTCTCATTGGTTCATTCATAGCCGTCAGTTTATTAAACTTGGACAGAATTTTATTTCATTTTTTTTCCCGTCATCCAGTTATGTACATGATTGATTTGCCTTTTTTTCCTGGAATTTTTTATTTTTACAAAAAACAAGCTAAATTTTTTAGTTGAAAGATTTTTGTAATGATTGGTTTAATTTATAGATTGTGTACTAGGCACAGATTGATCTCATTTGATGTACTATTGAAAACTAGGGAATATTAGACAGAAATTTTATTATAGTACGAAACTTTCCTGTGATCCTCATCTAAAAAAGGATCGAACTCAGGACCTTCAAGTTTGGCAATGAACTGTCAGGTTGGTATACGTTCCCAAATCTAATCAACTTGCTATACAAAGCGATTGTCATTCAATGTTATGGAGTACTAACTACTGAAAGACCTTAATTTGTGCCAGTGGTAACCTGATTGAAGTTAATCCACAATGAATAAATAGTACTGTAGTGAAAGAGAACCGGATTGTGTTTAATGAAAATTACAGAGTTACTCAGTAAAATTGGAAAACCATATCGTAAATCGTTCATTTGCAAAACAACAGTTCATCATATCGAACTGGACTGTTCCTGTTGCAAAACATCAATCCATTGTGACTATTCATGCATTTCATACAAATTCCATTGTTTTCTAACTCTTCCTTTCTTGATCTTCCCCCCATCTTCGGCTGCCAGACATTACGTTGACACTCATGTCATATACTACTTATAAGTAGCTCGCACCACAGCACCACACTACCCATAAAATTATACCGAAAAATCGATTCACTTCGATTGGATTGAGGTTTTATTTTCTTTTTCTTCACATGCATTTCTTTTTGTTAGCCTGTTTGAAATTTCTCACTTTTTCTCTCTATCTCTCTCTTCCAGTTCTTCTTCTTCTTATTACTACTACTACTACTACTACTACTTCTACTTCTACCATTACAGTGACTAAAGGCTTATGTAACAGTAATAAAACTGTACTACTCTAACTTGTATGCAAAAACTACGCACTTGTATTTTTCTGTCATAAGTGCTCAGGAAAAGTGTTTTATGATTTCAGAGTCAATTACATATTCTTCATTCCGTCTATAATGTATTTGTATTTGTATTAAAATTATATTGTTCTTTTTTTTGATAATTTATGGAATTTTTAATTCTCTATTTTTTTCATTAGTTTTTCTCTTTTTTATTTAATTCTCTGTTGATATATTTTTGTTTTATTTAAGACTTTGAATGCATATTACTCGTTAGTATTATGTTTTTGTTTTCTGAGGATATGTAGACTTAGTTCTGTCAATATAATCAATCATATTTGAGTTTAACGATGAAATTCTTAGTTGGTTTATAATCTGATAGTAGTCATTACGGATTATATCTAGTTAGACATTTTTAGGAAACCAGTAAGATATGGACAAGTGTTCTCTTCTAGTAGGAAACTTTTCAGCAGTGCACATCTTAGACACCCCACAGGTTCTGAGGATGTTTAGACTTATTTCTGTCAATATAATGAATCACATTTGAGTTTAACAATGAAAATTAGTAGAAGAATGCCTAGTTAGTTTATAATTAGGAAACCATTAAGTTATGGACAAGTGTTTTCTTCTAGTAGGGAAATTCTCACCAGTGCACATCTTAGACACACCACACAGACCCATAGATTAGTGGAGTGATTAAATTCGATTAATTGTTCAAGAATAAAATTCCTAAACGGCTCCTCCATTTATCTTTGTAGAATCCCACTTGGAACATATTATCATTTCATCAATTTACTTCTATTTCATTAGTACATTTTTTTTTCTCTTTTTTATATTTCACAATAATTAGACTTGTTAGTTTGGTCATGTGAACGTGTTCAAGGTTGGTTAGATGAAATTGGTCTTAAAGAATATGCACCAAATTTAAATGGATCTGGTGTACATGGTGGTGTTATCGGTCTACATCCAGATTTAAATGCTCAACAGTTGGCGTTAACATTACAAATACCTACATCGAATACATCAGCTCGTGCTATATTAGCTAAAGAATTAACTCAACTTGTACAACGTTTTCGTGCTAATGTACCAATTGCAGCGGCTAGTATTGGACCAGCTCCAAGAGTTCTAGCAATGGAAGCAGCTGCTGTTGTTGCAGCGAATAGAGCTCGTGCAAAATTTGAAGGACAAGATATTTGTTATCCGGATGATGGATTTAATGAAACAGCTGTATGTGATTCTCCTTATCTTCCCTTTTTTTTAAAAATCTTTTTCATCATAAATTTAAGAAGAAAGAAATGATATTTATATTATTTGAATGTAATTTTGGACAGTTTTTCTTAGACGACAAATTGACTAGATTACTTATTTATTTATTCCTGCTGCCTTCGATGGTGTAAAAAAAGACAACTAACCAGAATTCTTGAAACACATCTATCCTGGACTTTCTTTTCTAGCTGTTGTTAAGTACTATTAATTCGTTTGATATCTATCTCCGATTCCCGACTCAATGGGTTTTTTCGGTCTTTTCTTTTCCTTTGACCTTGAGAATTCCAAGCAAAAACTTGTTTTGTGACAGTGTTTTTCCTAATTCCCTCTTCAGTTAGAAACGATTTATTCTCTACCCGGAGACTTCTCAGAGCTATTGCGGGTCTCAACCACGGATAAAAGAGGAGGGTCGGACGTGGGGTTAGTAACTCTTAACTCCCTAGAATAGAACCTTGCTAAGAAAACACTAACCAGAATTGGCTAGATTATCATCATTTAATTTTTGGCCCAATGGTAAAGTTGAGGATGATAAGTTGATGTGAAGTTTTGGCTAGTTCATAGTCTTTACCCATACTGTGGTTTAGCTGCTCTGAAAGATGTTCACCAACACAGCGTTGTCCAGTATAATTTACTTTAATGAAGCCATTGAATTCATCAATGCAAAAAAAACAGCTAAATGAATTCAAGTTATTTTTATTTGCGGTTTATTCTAAATATTTTTAAATATATATATATATTTTTCTCTTTTTTTACTTGAGATTACAAACGATTTTGATGGAATAGAACAATTAGAAGATAGAGCTACACCGACAAATAGTTCTGAAGGAAATCTTACCGATACACAACGTACTCAATTAGAATTATCTAATTCTAAATTAGATAAAGTTGGTACTGGCGCTACAAAGACAACTGAATTATTGCCATCATCATCTGATCACAGGTTAGATAGTACGATTTCTGATAACAACACCAGCACTACTGGTCCAAATGTCAATAATACAATTTCGCATAGTAGTAATAATAATTCCGCTGTTGGACCTCTTCCTACTTTAATACCACCGAAAAAACGAGCTCCTCAGGTACCTTCTACTACTACCACTACTACTACTAACACAACAACTCCAACTAGTGTTACAACTTCAGTCACAAGTAAAACACCAACAACAACATCTTGAACAATCTTCAATATCATTCATTCATTTATTTATATTACTTACAAATTTACTTTTTTTTTTGCACTATTTACAATACACTAGGTGAAAAGCACGTTTACTTACTTTGAATGTTCAATGAATGACGAAATGTATTTTCTTTTTTTTTTTAAAAAAAACAACGAACTATTTTCAAATCCTTCTTACTATGATGATCATTATTGTTGTTTACAACAGAATAGGATTATTTCAGATAGACAAAAATAATTTAACTGGATACAGCGTTTATATATAAATAATGATGAATCAATCAATTTGATGATATAATCAATGTAAACTTTGAGTCAAAGTGTATTTTTTTTTAAGACAAAACTGACATCTTTTTCTTTGTCTCTCTCTCTTTCCTTCTGTTACACTCCATGGACGATTAGAAATCGTGTTATTATTATTCCATGGAGTTACACTAATGATAAATACTCTCTTTCTTCTGAACTTGTTCTTTTCCAATGTAGAAAGAAACAGTTATTCCAGCGGGAATGATGATTTCATATGATATTTTGATGCATCTCACTAATTGGTTTGTTTTCTATTTTTGTGTGTTGCGTGTGTGTGTGTGTGTGTTCAACTACTCCATTGTACACACACATATATTTGTTTTCTGTTTCTTTATTGTTTAAATGTTCTATAGATATTTCTTCTTCTTCTTCTTACATCTAGTTATTCTTTACAAATTATTTAGTTCTTTTCTATTTAGTGTGTACACCTCTTCCTTCCACATACTCCTTTTGTGTTCTACTCTCTTCTATACTGCTTTACTTTGATTCATTTCAATATCAATATGTGATATGAGAAGATGTAAAATGATGAAGATCATGATGATGATAGTGATGATGATGTGTATATTGGTCTTTCAAAATTAGGTGAAAACTCAACTTCAACTCGATCTTGTCTACTCAATTTGTTGTATATTAATCATTCATTTGATTTCCTTATTATTTTCCTGAATAATATTATTATTATATTTTTTCTGTTTTTTGCTGATTCTTTTACTTCTATCTATTATGGTTCAACATAGAAACGATGAAAATGTGAAAAACAAAAAACAAAACTAGTATACATATTACTTATTACATAGAGTAAGTAGTATGTGTTGTTTTTTTTTTCAAAAAATCTATTATCGCACAATTCTACAATATCAATCTCATAATTTGCATGGATTTATTACATTTTGTCCATAATGCATTTTATCCTGTCTGTTGTCTACCACTATATATATATATATATATATATATATATATATATATATATATATATATACATTTATATATATACACATCTGTCCAGTTATATATCTTCAGAAATGATTTTGTTTAACTCCTTTTTTTCGTAATTAACAGAAAAAAGAAAACAAAACCATGAGATTAAAAAAGAATGATTTTTTTTTATCTTCTTTTTTCTTGTGTCCTCCTCCTCCTTCACACTCTGTGTTTTTTTTTATTTTATGTCTGTTTTACGAACGAAAATCAAAGGATCAAATGATACTGACAATGATTATCATAGTGATAAAATGATCATAATTTTTCTTTCGTTTTTTCTCTCTTTTGAAAGTAAAAGAAAAAATCTTGTTTTGTTTCATATTCATTCATGCCTATTGTTTATAGCTTATTCAACAATCATGCGTTTAATAATACAAATAAGTAAAAAAAATAGCCACTGACTAATCTCTCCATACTAATGATTACAACAACATTATAAATATTCATAAACGTATATGTTATTTTTAATATTTTGTACATAAATTTAATTATTATTATTATCATTATGGTTTTGCTGATGATAGGCTTGTTTCATTCATCCAGTTTCTTTTTTTTTTTTAAAAATCCTTACAGTGTGTGTGTGTGTGTGTACGATGTGTACAATGTGACTATTTATATATATATATATATATATATATATATATATATATATATACATATATATATATATATATATATATATATACATATATTCTTAGCATTGCTACTGCGACTACTGTTATGATTACTATTACTAATAATCATTAGTACTAGTGTTAACATTATTACTATTATTATTATTATTACTATTACTATGGGTGATGTTGTTTATACTGAAAATACAATTAGACACAAAATGTTTGTACATTCGACCTGGTGACATAATATTATAATATATAAACTGGTACAGAATTAATATGACTTTTTATTTTGATCATTTTCATAAGGTTTGGTTAAGAAAGTCTAAGAAATACAAAAAAATCATTGAATTCATTCTTACCTTTCGTGTACGTATACGTACAACCGTACCGGTTGGAAAACCAGCCGGTTTAAATCGAATCAAATACCTGAAACTGTGTTGAAAGAACAGGAGTCGAGCGCAAGGAAATTAATTGCTGTATACTAACTCGTGAAACAGATATTGGATATTGAATCATATGTTCTACCCAATGACCAACAATACTCAGTAATGAATATTTAGTATGTGATAACTGTGAATTTCTCTACTTGATTATAAACTGGGTTGGATCAGAATGACAAAGAAATCATACATTTAGTTTTCTTAGCATATTTATCAAATTTATGTGTGAATATCAATAATACAATAATTGGATAAACCTACTGTGCGTTAGGAAACATCCCATTTCATTACGATATCATTATTGGATACTGAGATCAACATAAGAGAACTAGCAGAACATCTTCAGCTGTAATATTTTTATTCAGTCGAAAATTAAGACTACAGTCATTTATAAAATTAATAGTGTGAATTTCTGGTCATGTTCATTTATCATAGTTTATATCAGTTAAGGTATCGAATATCATACAAAATACAAAATCCCATCAAATTCCTTACTGACAAGGCATCGGCCATAAAGTTTTCAGACGAATTTGTGAGTGCTTAAGATGATGAAGCTATTTCATTTCTTTTTTTGAGTGTATTTTGCACATCAAAATCTTTTTCCACAAATGTCACTCTGGAAATCCTTAAAATGTTTCATCCATAAACTTAAGAAGAGGAATTATTGTCTGTTCTTACCGTGTAAAAAAGTGACTCATACAGAATCTGGCTGTGAGGTTACCAGAACATGTGAAAGGTTACTGTTTCATATAGTTCTAGTTCTTCATAGATTTTAGTATTCTGTATACATTAACATCAAAAGAATAAATGTATTTTAACCCTGTTATTTGTTCTTCTGAAAACTCCAGTTTAGTCTAGTACATATTAAACCATCTTGTTACGAATATACGTAAACCTGTCATTTTGATTGGCTTGAACGATTACGAGTTCACATTAGTTGGAAAACGAGAGCGAGGATCCGGTGGCACGACATTCTACTCAGATCCGAGTGTCCCATCCCCCATTGAATAAAAGAAGAGTTGATCTAAAGTAGAACCTGTTGACTACAAGCATCCAGAAAATACGAGGTCCGAGTCCAGAATAAGATACGGATCCCGAACTAAGGATCTGGGTCATAAAGCATTACAGATAATGCGTATTTATACATTTAGGGCGAATAGGAAACAGCATTGAAGTCTGTGTCATTGACAGTTAAGACGATCAATAGGAAGTAACATTTGTAGTGACACTGATAGTCAGGACGACCAATAAGAAACAACATTGAAGTGCGTGACATTGATAGCTGAGTCGACCACAATATTAACCAATAGGAATCGACCAATAGAATTTACACTTACAAAATGATTCTTCGTAGGATATTTGGCGAATATCCTAACAGCATGCAATTTATCGTTTTGAAATTTCATTTTTTAATTAACGCGACAATTAGCTACATACCTTTACAAAAATGTTGAGAACAAAATATCGGTATCTGTATGTTAATTTGTAACCATACCAATGGAACTTTCCATGTACTTTATTGACGGCAAAATCAATGGGTATTACATTCTGATTTTACAATACGATATCTGGTTCACTAAGTGACACTAGTTCAAGTGATTAACTTGCATTCAGTTGTTTAAATCCTTTCAATACTACTTTATTTATTTAGCTGTTTACCGGTTCATCTATTACCCATATTAGATTCCTTTATCGATGTAATGGTTACTCTGGGCAGTTTGAATTTATTTCGATACAATGCAGGTTAGACCATTCTAATGCAATCATAGATTTATTTCACTATAATATTCACTACATATTTTGGTGTCAGTGTTACTTTTATTCTGTAAAGAACTGCTAGTGATTGTAAGTGCCGATGTTAATATGAATTCGATTCAATTACCAGTAGGGTAAATTCTGGTGTTATTTCATTACTGCTATTATTTCAGTCAAGTTTTGTCCACTCTATCCTATTATACTTTGATTATTTATCATTACAGTACATCCTAATTAATCCAAATACTTATAAATAAATTCAGAGATATTTGCAGTTTAGTTTTTTTATTAATATATTTGTAAAATATGATATTATTCTGCGGTTGATTCACATTCAAACGCAAACGTAATGGTAAGTAAATCGCCCAAATAACTGCTTCATTATATCTTTGACATTGATCTCTTTAGTTTTGGTGGACACGCAGTAAGTGAAGGCTCCTAGTCACGCATCCGCATCAGATCACTAACGGATATGCCGTGCTACGAATCCCGTCGCATCAGAGAGTGTCAGCTTAGATAACATGCTTTTCGACACACTGATCGTCTACATTATATACATTCGATCTTCTGTATTCCCGAAATTCTGGTTTGACTGGGTTTCTGATACTTGATTAGAAAGCTGTTAAGAAAAAATCGTTTTTTAACCTTAGATATCCCTGACATCTACACACGTTACTCACGACTATGCTGAGAGAGTTTCTTCTGACTTTAGTATTTTTACGTAGATTAGTACTATAGTATGAATAGGATACTTCTGGGTATTCCTAGTTAGTATCTGAAGTAAGAGTACTGACTATAAGGCCCTTGTCATCACAAGGCTTCAAAACGAGGAAATGGATAAAATAGGAATCATCAAGTACTTGGACACGCATTTCGGTAATTAATTGAGCAAGATGAAGAGTACGATACAGCTAGGATCTATTTTACAGTTAGAAAAACTAGTGCAATATTTATTTGGCGAATCAACTAATCCTTTCAGTATGTGTTTAAAAATCTAGATGTTGTGCGTACATGAGCCGTCTCAACCTGTATGTAACCCCTTTTTATGATTCTCAGTAACTTCACATAGAGCCCCTCTGGGGCTAATGCAGGTCCCAAGCCCGGATAAAGGAGGAGGGATGGGAATGGCGTTGGTGACCCCAATCCCGTAGAAAACTAACTTGTTGAAAAAAAGCTAACCGGAAAAAATTGTTCAAACCATTTTA